GGACTGAAGGAAAATGCCACTTGAGGAGGGGCAGAATTCATATTTGGCGGGGCAATGCCTTCCTTCCCCTTCCCCAGTGCTACACCCCTGGCGCAGGATAAGAACAGTACCGCTGATCTATATTTCTTTCTTATATTATCTTTGCGTGTTCAAGAAATCTTTCTGTTTGTTATGTGAGCTGGGTTTATTCTTTATATCTTTCTGGAAAATGGAATGGTTTTATGGCCTTTGCCACGTCTCATGACGATGCTCTTATTTTGCCTGAGATAAAAAGAGGTACCAACTTCTCTGGTTGCCCCTTCTGTTTCTTCATCACAACTGGTTTCCTACATCACTGAGTGTAACATACAGGATCCACAGATAGATAGATCTCTGCTACAGCACCCCTCTCATCACCCGGGGACTTACTGTTTTGCTGCTATATCCCCCTCCATGGCCATTCAGTGGTTGGTGGAGAGCGGGGTGATCTGCAAAGGATCTGGCAGTGTCACCATAGTGAAGCTCATAGGATAATGGAATCCTAAATTGGAAGGGACCCTCAGAGGCAATCACTTTCAACCCCCTGCTCAATGCCAGATCTCCAGCTGGACGGAGCATCCCCATCAGGGGGTTGTCCAGCCTCTTTTGGAAGACATCCAGAGAAGGAGACCCCATCCACTCTCTAAGCAATTGACTTCATTGCAAACTGCTCTTACCATCCAAATGTTCCTTATAATGTTGAGTTGAAATCTACCCTCCTGTAACTTAAAACCATTAGACCTGGTACTACCCTCTTGGGCAGCAGAGAACAAACATGCTCCCTCCTCTCTGAGACAGCTGTTGAGATATTTAAAGAGGGCAACCATGTCACTCCTTGGTCTTCTCTGCATCGGGCTGAACATGCCCAGCTCCTTCAACCTCTCTTCATATGGTTGGTTCTCCATCTCCTCTTATCCTCCTCATTGCTGGTTTCTGAACTTGCTCTAACTTGTCTATGGACGTTATCACACGGGGGAAATCTGCTGGTTAATCCACACAAATCCCAAACAGAAACTGGATTTGTGCCTCACGATTTCACACGATGTCGCACAGAAACTGGTCAGAAACTGGACAGAAACTGGTGTTATCCGAGATCTTTTGAAATTCAGTTGTTTGGAGGAAATGCAAATGTGAAATTAAGGTAATTTCGCATTTACCGTAATGTGAAAAGCAAATG